GGATTCTTGCTTGAAATAATTAAGAAGTATGAGAAATATATATCAGGCGCTCGTTAATGTTAATTTACAATTAAGAAATCTATTTCTTGAAGCATTTTAGTCACATAGAACCAGTCTAATTAATCATATAACAAAATACCAATGATTCAACAAAATAAGATAAGCAATTTCTATCTTCCTTCAAAACAAAATTATCAATACACTCGACAACGTGCAAGGTTAAACAACTCATATCGTGCTTTATACTTCTTTCAGCCACCCTCATCGTGTTGTACTTCTAAATTATAAAAGAGAAGCTAAAATAATTAGATTCGTTATACTTATACACCACTATACAATCATGCCAAAACTAACATTAGAAATAGCACATTTATGCATATACTTATACATAAAGGGACCACAACAAATGAGCCAAGAGGCAATAAAAATCATTAGAACTCTCTAACAACAACAAAACAATTACTCAATAAAAACCATGAAATGAGTATTCTGGATATGCTTTCATAAGCAGCACCACTCTCCAAACAACAACAAAAACTGCAGCGCTATAAAGGACATGAATTTAGCGTTACAAAATTGCTTTCATAAGCAATAACACTCTATAAACGACAACAAGATATAAGCTCTATAAAGAATATGAATTTAGTGTTCTAAAATTGCTTTCCTAACCATCCACTCTCTCCGAACAACAACATAACATCAACTCTATAATGGATAGGAATTAAGAGTTCTAAAACGGCTTTTATAAGCAACATCACTCTCCAAACAACAACAAAGCATCTCAATATAAGGATAAGAATTTAGTGATTTAAATGGCTTTCATAAGCCTGAGCACTCTCCAAACACAGGAAAAAAACCTCAGTAAAAATAAAGGAATTGTGTGTTCTCGAACTATTTTCATAAGCAACAACACTCTTCAAGTAAAAAGAAAACAACAACTCAATCGAAAGGGCAAGACCATGCAAAACAACAACAACAATTATATGTTGTACACTTAGTTATTTGCTTCCTTACATGACAAACAAGAAGTAGCAGCAACAAAAAAGCAAGTTGTATTCTAAGAGAAAGAATTATAAGTACCTAATGTTTGTCTATTACTACTTTCAAACATCTCTTGCAACTTCTTCATTTGAGCCTTCAAATCGATCAAATCTCCAGCATTTTTCAAATCGTACCCGTAACTTTAGTGATAGTTTATTGAAGAGCTTCGTTTTCTTCAAGTCAAGATGTGTTTTCAACGTATCTTTAGTCTTCTCTATGTGCATCACATCTAAGTTATGACGCAATAGATGTGTTCTCCGATAAGAAAGTTATGCATGATCACTTTTTTTTTCAAGCGTGACTAACTAAAGCAAGTGCATCTGTCGATAAATAGCAATATAATGCCAAGCAAGGTCGTACCCGACAAAGACGCTGACTACTAGTAATGAGTTATATTTCATATTATCAAACCGGTTCTTTTTTATGGATTGTTTTAACTACTAAGATTATTAAGAAAAAAACATATGCATGTGTATAATCCGACAAGTTCAATTTGCATAGTATAAAAATCATACTCGTCAATTTTCTAATTCGACTTTTACCCATACACATTAAAAAATCTTCCGCAGATTTTACTCCACTCAATTGAATAATAATCTCACAAATATCCATGAGTATGATTATTTTTGTCATTCTTACTTTTTTTTCTTTTCCGTTTTATTTAATATTCTGTTTTTTCCCCCCAGTAATTCCATTCTTTTGGAAGCTACAACTAATCAGTTTCAGGATAATTGTTTTACTGATAAAATTAAACTAGATCTAACGGTTCGCATGCACTATACCACATTGGACGGTGGTGAACACATAAGAGCATTGGTGCTGTGGAGCATAGTAGTAGGGCACCAACCCGAACCCGAACCCGAACAGCATATCCTTATCTCTCCTATTCTTCTGTTTGTTTCTCGTGAAACTCCCCAGAAAATTTCTCTCGGTTCCTTCATCGGCTTCCCGATCTGCTCCTGCAGCGCTTGCGATCATGGAGATGGAGCGCGTGATCGAGTTTCCTCACACTCATCTCGATCGGAGGCCCCGAAAGAGGGCGCGTCTAGGCTGGGACGTCCCTCTTATCGCAAAGGTATAATTTTTTTTTCCTCTCTGTCGAGCTTAAGCCTTCCTGTGCGTTCCTTTTTTTTGTTAGATCTGGCCATAGGCTTTTGATTCTACGCTTTGGATTGAGAGATCTTCGGGTTGGACTGTTGTATTGGATTTACTCGAGAATATCTATGGCGTTCTTGCAAACTCTTGGTATTGAATTTGGTAACTTTTTCCTGTCTTCTGCTATGGGCAGATCTGAAGTTTTCAAATTGATCTGCTCCGAGATCGATATTTTGATTTTTTTTTCTCTCTCTCTTATTAGCCTATATACCGCGTTATTTATATCTAGCTGTTCTGGGATTTTCTAATCGAATTGAATTTGGGTGATAATTGTTCAAGGGTTATGCACGTATTGAGACAAGTTTTGTGTTTTGTGATGATGTTGAGTGTGGATGAATGGGTGGATGTGTGTAGGCTCAGGTAGGGATATATTGTGGGCAAGAGATTGGTGATGTAACAAGCTTTGCGCCTTCAGGAGCGAACCCAGATTATACCATCAATTATAGTTCTCTGTTTGATAAGGATGTTGCTCGAAATGGTTCTCCCCCATGGAGGGAAGATGACAAGGATGGGCATTACATGTTTGCTATTGGAGATAATCTAACTTCTCGCTGTAAATACACTTTCCTCCACCTGTACCTCTTAATGGTTATGAAGCATGGGAAATCTGGACTTGGATAGATTTTTATTTCGTCCACTGTTTGGAATTTCACTATATAGTCTAAGTAGGATATGCTTTGTTTCTTGTCTATGTACTGAGTTGGTTTCTTTTTTCTCTTATTTTGTTCTTGCAGATAAGATCCATAGCAAAATGGGCGAAGGTAGATCATCTTTCCTAGGTGTATTTTTCTCTGTTCTTGTGAGATACTGAGATTGTATATTTCAGCTAAACTGTTGTCCTTGCTTTCCCTGTTTTTAGGTACTTTTGGCCAGGTCCTAGAATGCTGGGACAGGGAAAGGAAAGAAATGGTAGCTGTGAAAATTGTTCGCGGCATTAAGAAATATCGCGAGGCAGCTATGATAGAAATTGATGTGCTGCAGCAACTGGGTAAACATGACAGGGGTGGCAACCGGTGAGTGATCTACCGCTCTTCTAACCAGGCTCTGTGCCTATTTCATGAATTTTTTTTTCATTGGTTAAAGATGTTTATTCCTTGCAGTTGTGTGCAATTACGGAACTGGTTTGACTATCGTAATCATATCTGTATTGTAAGTATATGGATGATGTGCGATGGATTAATTTCCCCAATTTATGAATAACTCTGGGGTTAAGAGTTTTGGTGAATGCAAATGATGTCGACAGGTCTTTGAGAAGCTTGGACCAAGTTTATACGATTTCCTACGCAAAAACAATTATCGGTCCTTTCCCATTGATCTTGTCCGTGAGATTGGCAGACAACTGTTGGATTGTGTAGCATGTGTGTAAAAGATACTTGAGCAATTTTTTTCCCCGCATTTCATTTTTCTTCTGTTTTGGTATTCCTAGATTTTGCCATTTTCCTTCGTTCTTAGCAACAGCATGAAAAATTAAATTGATTTGCATCATGGTGCTGTCACAGTTTTGTGCCTATTTTAGCTAATGTCCTGCTGTGTCTTAAAATTGCAGTTATGCATGACTTGCGGCTTATTCATACTGATTTGAAGCCTGAAAACATTCTCTTAGTTTCATCAGACTATGGCAAAGTACCTGACTACAGGGTAAGTCCGTTTATCATGTCTCGCTACCTACTTGCACTATTTATTCTCTTTCAAGATGCTTGACTTCTTTGTTTTATGTGTATCAGGGTTCATCTCGTTCCCCAAGGGAAAGTTCCCACTTTAAAAGGGTCCCAAACTCGAGCGCAATCAAGGTCATTGATTTTGGTAGCACAACATATGACCGTCCGGATCAGACCTACATTGTGTCAACTCGACATTATCGTGCCCCAGAAGTTATCCTTGGTACCTACTATTTAGTTTTTCTTTTTTTTTTTTGCTTGTGAGTTCAACTTCATTCTTCCTTTCATGATTCTCAACTCCCAAATCCTTGCAGGTCTTGGTTGGAGCTATCCATGTGATGTTTGGAGCATTGGGTGTATTCTAGTGGAGTTGTGCACTGTATGTTCCTCAACTCTGAATCCTTTTGTACAGTTAGGTCTCCTATATGCATTTGCCTGTAACTGACTTGCTTGCCTCTTGATGTGCAGGGTGAAGCATTGTTTCAGACTCATGAGAATTTGGAGCACCTTGCAATGATGGAGAGGGTGCTTGGTCCTCTACCCCTGCACATGTTGAAAAGAGCAGAGTATGCAACACCACCGTCATGGTTAATTAGTTGCCCACCAGAGTTTTTGTTTTTTTTGGGTGCTAACTATTTGTTTGTTTACGCGCTGCAGTCGACATGCCGATAAGTATGTCAGAAGGGGAAAACTGGACTGGCCAGAAGGGGCTGCATCTAGGGAGAGTGTTAGGGCAGTAATGAAGCTACCTAGACTGCCGAATTTGATAATGCAGCACGTCGATCATTCTGCAGGGGATCTTATCCACCTGTTGCAAGGTCTCCTTAGGTACGATCCTTCGGAGAGGTTGACCGCTCGTGCAGCTTTAAGGCATTCCTTCTTCACGAGGGAGCATCCTCGGAGATAAGAAGCTGCGAGTGCCCTGCCTGAAACGAGTTCAGGCTGTTTGTTGTTAGGGGCTATACCCTTATGAGTTACCCGACTAACCAGCAGGGGCGCTGCTGCCTCTGTTAAACTCATGTAAATATGTAACCCTCCCCTGGTGTGCTTACACGAACCTCTAATACCCAATTCATTTGTCAAGCTGTGAAAGATATTGAAGTCATCTCCTGCCATTGTGATGTATGAACCTGATAAGTGCAAGCAACTTGTTGCTCTCTGTTTCTCCGTTGTCACATGTTCTGCACTTGGTGTAGCTAATGTAGCACCTCCATTGTTTGCCATTTGGTGAGGGTGTTGAAAGGAACTTGACGTCTGTGTACCGCAATCAGTAACCGGCGACAATGAAAGGCTGGCGAATTCAACATTTCTGTTTCCTTGGCGGATAGCCTACGTCTATCATATGCAGTGAGAAACTGAGAATGACGAACCCTTGCGAGTTGCAAGGCTGATGCATGTGTTAGTTTGTTGATTTGTAGCCAAAAGAACTAGTTTTATGATCTTGTTTGACGAGTTAAAAACAAGATCATAAAACTCTTGTCCTCACGATAAAGAAATCGTTGACAAAAACCCAGGACAAATGAAGAAGATTGCTTGGAATCCAAACTTCAATCCTGTCTCTACCAAAGAAAAAGGGATTCCGGGAATGTGATTGGAAATTGGAAAATTGGGAATCGGCGACTGGCAAGTGGACATGGCATGATAACATTATTCCCCATAAGCATTCAGATTTGTTGAGCCTTTCAGAGCGCTGAAAAGTTTTCTAATTTTATTATTTTTTGACGACTTTTTAATTTTATTTTAGTGTAGTCTTTGTTTTTATATAAAAAAGAAAGAAATATTCTCTTTGGATGAAAAAAGGAGAAATAATAATAATAAAGTTGCATGGTCCTGCTAGAGTTTAGCTGCCAATTCTTCTCTTCTCAGTCCGCGCAACTCACAAACACACATTTTGGCGCCTTTACTTTCGTGGTGGTTTCTCTCTCCCCTTTTCCCCTCTTTATACCCTAAAGCTCCCACCCATTCCCCGTTCGGAGTAGTTACCCGCTCAGCCGCCAGCCACCGCCAGCGCCGCCGCCTTTGCCCTCCCAGATTTCGATATGGCTTTCTCTGTCTCCACGAAAGCTTCGATTTTCCCCACTCTCCCCTCTAATTCCGATCATGGGTACTCGCGGAAGCTCTTCTTCTCCAAACCTCCGTCTCTGTTTCAGCCGCCGTTCCTTAATAAATCCCTCAAATGCGTCCAATCTCTTTCCCCTGATTCCAAACCCAGTCCCAGCTCTTCCCCGTTCGCCTGCTCCGCCGTCTCTTTTCCCTCCTCGGCCGCCGCCGCGGCCGAGCTCGTGCCGGCGAGGCTCCAGCAGCTGATAACGGAATTCGGATCCCTCACCGAACCGTCCGACCGGGTCAAGCGGCTGATGGGTTACGCCGCGCTGCTGCCTCCGTTCCCCGACGCGTCCCGGGTCGCTCTCAACCGGGTCATGGGCTGCACCGCCCAGGTCTGGCTGGAGACGCGGATTGACGAGGAAGGGAGGATGAGGTTTTTGGTCGACAGTGATTCGGAAATCACGCGTGGGCTCTGCGCTTGTTTGATCTGGCTGCTCGACGGGGCGGCGCCGGCGGATGTTTTGAGTTTGAAGACAGAGGATTTGGCGGTGCTGAATTTTGGGTTGCCTGGTACACAGAGGTCGAGAGCGAATACTTGGCTGAATGTGTTGGTTAGCATGCAGAAGAGAAGTAAAAAACTGTTGGCTGAAAGGGAAGGCAAGATGTTTGAGCCTTTCCCGTCTTTGATGATTACTTCTGATGGGATTGATGCGAAAGGCAGCTATGCTGAAGCTCAGGTTGGGGGCTCATCTCGTTGCTCTTTGTTCATAGCAATAAAACTCTTTTTGTGTGTAGTTTATTCATTCTGAGTTTCAGAATTCTAGTTTTATTGCAGGCAAGATTTCTGTTCCCAGATGAGAGTAAGGTTGAGGAACTTGTTAATGTGCTAAAGGAGAAGGAAATCGGCGTGGTTGCTCATTTCTACATGGACCCTGAAGTTCAGGGTGTCCTAACTGCCGCACAAAAGCATTGGCCTCACATCCATATCTCCGACTCCCTGGTCATGGCAGATAGTGCCGTGAAGATGGCTGAAGCTGGATGCAAATTCATAACCGTTCTTGGTGTGGATTTCATGTCTGAAAATGTCCGGGCTATCCTTGATCAGGCCGGGTTCGCAGAGGTATATATCACTTATGTAGCTTGTGCGCGTTATACTGTTTGCTAGTGTCGTGTAGGTCACTCGAAGTTATTGCTCATCTCGTGATGTTTGTTTTGCTTATGCGAATTGTTGCAATGCAGGTCGGTGTATACAGAATGTCTGAAGATCGTATTGGATGTTCATTGGCAGATGCTGCATCTACCCCTGCTTACATGAATTATCTGAAGGAGGCTTCAGTGTCTCCTCCTTCTTTGCACGTTATCTATATAAATACTTCGCTTGAGACGAAAGCTTACTCGCACGAGCTTGTGCCTACAATAACCTGTACTTCTTCCAATGTTGTTCAAACTGTTCTGCAAGTAAGCATACCAAGTACTATAGCTCTTGCATATCTAGTTGGTGGATGTTAGGAAGTCATGTAATGTACTCATTCTTCTTTTCCCTGATCCCTTTTATGGACAGGCTTTTGCCGAAATCCCAGATTTGAAGATATGGTATGGCCCTGACACTTACATGGGGGCTAACATAGCAAAACTATTTCAACAAATGACGTTTATGACTGATGAAGAAATCGCTGAGATGCATCCAGCACATAATGCTGACACTATTAGATCATTGCTTCCTCGTCTGCATTACTTTCAGGTCAGTGTCCTGTTTTGGTGGCTTATGGGCATGGTCTGAGAAAAAAAAGTCTGATTTAGTGGAATATTCTTCCAGGATGGATCATGCATTGTCCATCATCTATTTGGACATGAAGTTGTGCAGAAGATCAATGACATGTATGGTGATGCTTTCTTGACTGCTCATCTTGAGGTTCCTGGAGAAATGTTTTCCTTAGCAATGGAAGCAAAGAGAAGAGGCATGGGGGTAGTGGGTTCCACACAGAATATACTAGACTTCATAAAGCAAAGAGTCCAAGAGTCACTAGACAGAAATGTTAGCGATCACCTCCAATTTGTTTTAGGCACAGAGTCGGGAATGGTCACTGCTATTGTGGCTGCAGTCAGGAAGTTACTAGGCTCCTCCACAACATCTTCCGAAAAAGCAAAGGTCAAAGTCGAGATTGTCTTCCCAGTCTCGGCTGACTCAATATCACAAACATCAACCAGGTCACCCCAAGGAGTAGAATCGGTAACAGCTAGGGGATATCATTTTGCCTGTTATACTGGTGTTGCTAGTGGTGAGGGTTGCTCTATCCATGGGGGATGTGCTTCCTGTCCGTATATGAAGGTCAGTACATTTCTTTTACATCATTTCTTGTTTTCATTTTTCCCCCCTTGCAATCAGTAACGGTTGTCTTGCTTTTTCTGTAAGCAGATGAATTCTCTGAACTCCCTCCTTAAAGTATGCCATCAATTGCCAGATGAGGATAACATCATTGCCCCTTACGAAGCCGAAAGGTTTAAAACTCGGACGCTCAGTGGGAAAGAGATAGCAGATGTTGGTTGTGAGCCTATATTGCACATGAGGCACTTCCAGGTTTTCATTTTGCACATCCTTTCCAATTCATTGCGACATTCACATGTGCTGTGTTTCTTCTTTTTATAATTCACGACTGAGAAGTTTCACAACACATATAGGCTAAAAAGGAAATGCCGGAGAAGCTCGTTGATCACATCTTGCACCAGCATGGCAATCTTAGTTCATGAGGGGATCCAGCGACTCCCCAGTAGGCACCCATATGGCCCAAAAATAATCTTGTCCTGCTGTGAAGCTAGCTTTAGCTGACAATCACCTCAGTTTTCTCGTTTTACTTCCAAGTTTTCACTTATATAGGAATGAATGAATGGATATTATATATAGCTCCAGCAAAGCCATCAGTGGTTAATAACCCCCTTCCGTGTTGAAAATACACGCGAAAGCACTTCCAAAAGCAGTCATGATCTTCTTCAGTAATCATGAGAGGTGCACTTCCTCATGCCTACAGGCTACAGGAAGGAAACTTGCAGAGCATTTTGTATACTGAGGTTATTCTTTACCATTTCGATTCCGATAATGTAATATTTTGGATCCGGCTATTCGCATGGGGTTCTGTATGATTTGATTGGGGTGGGCACTCAATGCCCTATGTCTGAATAAGAGCTAGCAGTGCCTTTTAATCGTCCATTTGCAGAAGAGAAAAAGGGCATCGTAGACCACTCCTCGGATAACAATGATACATGAAAATGAGTTGTATAATTTATAAATTACTTGGCTTCTACGCCATTTGCAGCTATCAGGATTCAGGCACTGATACAGAACGATAACAAACTCGATTCGCACCAAGAAAAGAGAGTCTCGGTCACTTACAATTGTTTGAGGGAAGGTGTGGTGCTAAATGATCCCCACACAAACTACTCAGCCACCATCTTCACTGTATATGGATGCACCTAGGCTAGCAAATGTGCGTACTTGATGAGATCCATGCTAATATTCTCTCACACCCGCTCTAGCACAGGCAATGGTTGCGAAAGTATCGATGGTCTCAATGACGACGACTTGACCCTATAAAATGTGTCATATGCCGCTACATAGTGTTGGACATCCTACGCCATCCTCAACCAGTAAACATGTACTTAGATCTTGCGTAGAGCCTTCACGTGTCATGAGGACCCGCCCACTGGGAAATTATGGAGATGATTCTCTAGGCAAGATGAAGATGATTTTTTTTTTACTGATTTGAAGATCATGTATATACTAGATTCCGATTTGGAGCCGCATCCTGAACCACAAGACACTGATTCTGAAGAATTGACGGCAAAACGCAAGAAAAGGAATGATGGTAGCCTGTTGTGCAGAGGATACATCCTCAATTCACTATCTGGTCGTCTCTATGATTTGTACTCCCTATTGTTGATCCCACAGAAATATGGACATCCCTGGAGAATCAATACAAATATGAAAAACAAGGCGCATATAAGTTTGTCACTTTCCATTTCTTCGAATTAGCTATAAATGATAAGCGTCCAATTCTGGATCAAGCTCATGAATTTCTTATCTTGGCCTCTAAGTTCACTGCGTTGAAGATAACTCTTCCTTAACCATTTATGGTGGGGGCAATTATTGTAAAGTTCCCTCCATCATGGAACAACTATAAGAACAAATTGCTTCATACGTCTGAAGAGTTTTGAGTATTGAAGAAAAAACTCGAATCCGTGACAATGATAGAATTCGGAAGCACCATCAAGTTTCAAAATGAATGTTCTGGAGAACAAGAAGGGCAAGAAGAGAAAAGGCATGAACAATTCCAACAACTAGAAGAATAAAATGACAAAGTCA